GGAATGGGTACCCCAATAGTAGTGTTGTTCCGATCCAACCACCAATCGCAATCAACAAAGTTGCTCATGAGTAATGAGACAGGATGATCCAAAAGACTGGAATGCATGATCCATTGGTCACGCAGTGATTACTGAAGGGACCTCATATATGCTTGTCCCAAAGGAATGAGAGGCTTGAGGGATGCCCACATCCTTTAAAGAAAGAGAACAATCCACGCAGTAGGAGAAGGAGACATAAGTAAAAGCCTGATGGCTCTTTCCATGGCTTGAAGCTCGATAGGGGTTGGTTGAGCATGACTTAAGTGAGTACTGAAAAATACATCCAGATGGACAAGATATTACATCGGTCACAGAACAGATTTCTCCAGTCTGATAAGGAAGCCTGCTTTTGTGGCTTCTTAAAAGGAGAATCTGAGACTGTTGTTCTGCTAATTGACGGGATGGTGCCAGAAGGAGCCAGTTGTCCATATAATGATGTGTGCACAGGCCCAAGAATGCAAATGATGAGAAAAAGCTTGAACAACAGAAGACATAAGGTGCTGATGCAAGACCAAAAGGTAGAGCCCTGAACTGTAGCACCTGACCCTTGTGCACAAATCTGAGAAACCTCCGGGAAGATTCCACTATGGGATAATGGAGATAAGCATTGGTAACATCGAGGTTGGTCATCCAGAGACCTGGCACAAAGAGTGCCATCGTAGCTTGAGAAAATATTCCATTGTAAAGCGATGAGGATCTAAAAATTGGTCGAGTCGAGACAGATCAATGATTGGACACCAATCTCCTGTCTTCTTGGGTACAATGTATAAATGGGAATAAAATCCTGAAAGAATGGTATCAACCCTCTCTACTGCCCTTTTGACTAACAACTCTCTTATGGCCTTGGAACGAAGTTCCACTTGCCATGGATCTGTTGGAAGTGAAAAGGCAACAGGTTGTGCAGATAAAGGTGGAGGTGATGTCAACTGAATGACCAACCCTGAAGCCAGAACATGGATCCTTGGTGAAAGAACTCCAGATGTCCAGAAAGTGATGTAATCATATTCCCACTGCTCCCCCCACCCATGGAATAGTCACAGACGCCATTGACGATGGTCTGCAGGAGCCAAAGATCCTCGAGAATATGTACAGACTCTACGGGAACCAACAGACCTGGGAACTGAAGGAGGGGGTCAGGAAACACTACGAGCCGACACTTCCAAATCAGTGCCAGAAAAGCAAGAAGCCAACAACAATAAAGAAGAATGTGAACAAGCTGAATCAATTCGTGATTCTAACGTCTCTGTAACTCTGAGAAATAACATGGAACTGAGAAAAGGAGCTTCCCATAACTCCCTGAGGGCAGAAGACAGTAAACAAACAAGTTTTATAGAATCTTCTCTATCCAATAAATCCCAACAACAAACAAGCCAGGAAACCAGAGAAAGAACTGAGAAGACAATCTGACTTAGGTAGACATCAGAAAAATCCCCAACTCATCCTCAAATTGCTGATGGGAACGTTGATAGGCTTCCGACAAAAGTTGGATTGAAGATAAATACTTCAGGACATTTATAAGAGTAAGACGAATCCAAGAAAACTGTGATCTGGTTAAAGTGATCACAGATTCCAAACTAGACCTCCACAGGTCCAAAAGAGGGTCCATCCATTGAGAATCTATATATACTTCCTCCTCGCAGTGATAAGCCAAAGTATGCTGTTCCGATAAACATGGGGGACAAGGCATAACTGAGCGGCAAATCTCCCAGGATTAACAGCAATATCAGGAGAAGAAGGAAAAACGAAGTAATCACTTGCCATCCTCTCTGCCAACAAGGAAGGAGTAGAGTAAAATGCAATAAAATGCAAAACCTCACAGACTTGAGTAACCAACTGAAGAAAAGGGGCTGGAGGTGGCTGATCAATATGATCCTCTGTTGAGGCCAACCTAGTAAAAGAAGGAGCCGGAAAAAGCAAGTCTAAATTCTCCCCAGCTAGTCCCAGGTCATTTGCAAAAGCCACCTCCAAACCCCCCCCCCCCAGAGAGACACCCTTGGTCTACATAAAGGACTCCATCTCACAATGGATCATATCACGGACAGCCTTGACTGAGAGTGACCCCTCCCCTGGCCATTTACAAACACCAGATAGCAGAGGTGGAAGAGAAGAGGTCTGGATGGCCTCCGCAGTAGAAACATTACCTCGGGAACTCGTGCCCGTTGGTACATTTTTTTTGTTAAAGTAATTTATAAATATAAACGAAGATATAACCATAGTAACATCAACCCCGTTCAAAGTTGCAACATAAATTATGAATAATCACAACACTCCTGTTCATAGAAACCCGTACCAAATGCTTTGTTGAGAAAAAGTTATTACATTATCTGAATAAGGTGCTTATATACAGTACCTAGATAGAGGGTGCATTGAAGTTGGTGGAGAAATTTGCAAATTAGAATTTGCCAAGGGAATTCGAGTGCAGTATAAAAGACTGGAGCAAGTGTTTTCAATACTTAGATGGGCAAAGAGTGGAAACCTTGGAGATCAAGAAATAGCTATAGCGTCAGTGGAGGCAAGTATGATAAAACATCAACCTAAAATATTTTTGAATAACAATTTTTTGAAATGCATTTAGAATTATCTTTACTTAAATTCTGAAATTTGATATACAGGTACATACTTCCCACCTGAAAGGTGGTCTCTGATCTGGATAGGGTTAAACTGAAATGTTAGAACTTACTAATAAACTTCAAGCAATTTCTCACATTTTTTACATAATATTTCTATGTTGTTTCATGTTTACAAACACATCACAACAAAAATTTTTAAGCAATGTAAACAACACCAAGTCACATAATTATAGGCTTAAATGAGTGAGTCAATACCATAAAAAAAACATTTACCATTAGTTTTCAATACTTACATAGGATATACAACATACAGAAAACAACATTGGCTCTTAAAAATACTATAACAGTTCTAAATTTATAGATACATAAAATGTAAATGGACTGTATTTAACACTCATTACAACAAAACAAGCCATAAAAGAATAAAATGCAATTTCACAAAGAGGAAGACAAAATTTAGTCAGACTATTACAAGTTTTTTGTATATAATGCTTGAACAATTATTAAAAAAATTAATTCTATATAGGTGAATACACAATAGATGAGTTTTGTTTGTTTGTTTGAAGTTAAGCACAAAGTTACACAATGGGCTATCTGTGCTCTGCCCATCACGGGTATCGAAACCCGGTTTCTAGCATCCACAGACATACCGCTGTGCCACTGGTGTGCAATAGATGAGCTAAACAATTCAATGAAAAATGTTCTTGAAAAATAAAGCCAAAAGCAGAAAGCTCGGCATTTAGTTTTCTTTTCTTACCCTTCTTTTCCCCATTTTCACTGTAGTATCAATTTATCCGTCATGTCCATTTTGGATGAAATTCAATTTTATGTTTCTCACTTTGTTTTACACATTTTTAAATTCCACATTTTACCTAGTACTGCAGCTAATCATGTTTTCAGTCTTGAAAATGATGTTCTATCAAACTGAAGCACAAGAAAAGTTATTAGAAGAATATCGTTCTATAGATAAATTACATTAAAAGAATCGGAAATAACAGAGAAAGCTCATGCATACCTCATGAGATGTACCCTTAGCAGATGTGAATGAGCCAAGACTTACACCAATCTGATTCTGATTTGTGTTATCCTCACATATGCTGCCACTGAAATAAAACAAATAAGGAACAGCATTTGAAACGTCAAGATGCACACATGACTTCCCATTCACATATAAACTGGCTAATTACCTTTAGCTACTTTATACTTAAAAGTGCTCATTATTTCAGTGAATAACTACTTGTTACAGCAATTTTACTTGTGAAACTAGGGCAAACCAATTTTAAATAATTAAAAGTTTAATTACATTGTTTTCAAAACAAAACATTCCTATCGATGGGTTTTTTCTCCAAAAACATGTACTGAAACAGCAAAAACACACAAGCACTTAGATCGAATGTCTTTTCCCAATATGTAACTCCTCAATAAGCACCTGTTACAAATTTTATAACTATTTAGATCAAATTCTCATCCATCAAAACAACAAAAAAGACCTTGTTTTTGAAAAATGAGGAATAAAAACATATATCAATAACAACAAAACAAGCAGAATCTTAAAACATTACATGACAGAATATGAAAAAAATCTGTAAAAAATTAAAAGCATTAAATTTCACTCTTGCGACATACTTAAATGACCATGTTCTGAAACTAGTTTATGCAAACATCGTTTTTACAAATGATGGCATATAATTAACATTTCAAAATACACCTTGTAAAAACCACAATTCACTTCTTGTGTAAACCTTTAATAGTTTTAGGAATAGCCACCAGGGAGTTACATGTAAACACATCTCACAGTTTATTCCTGGCAGTCCCATGAAAATGATAACCCATGGTTACTAAAACGTCAAAGAGATTTAACAATCATATTTTTTAGCTGGTATATAAATTTTTAAAATAATTTTGATGCTAATCACCACACCAATTTGACTAGTGGCTATGACCACTTTGACTGTGATAGTTTTTAATTGTATTTGAACACCTAAACTAAGTCAATTTTTCAAAATGGTTAAAGTCTCTGCAGTTCAATGATCTAGTATTTTTAATATATTTCAAAATACATCCTTTTTCAGAGCATACTGAGATCAGAATTAGTAAGACACAATTAGAATACAAAATCAAGGAGAAAATAGGTCTCAAACTAGAATTATGAAGTAGAAAGCTGTAGCAATAGTCGAGTGTAAAGAATATTACACATGAATATTAAATTAATTGAAATTACTAATGCTTCAGATGCTTACCATGCTGTACGCTTCACTTTCAAAACTTGTGATTCCATTAAAATGATTACTGCAAATTTTTAACTGCAGCATAGTGGCTCATTGAATGGCTCTGAATTTTTTGACAACTTGGTTACTCATCAGCATCTCTACCAGCCTACCCTCAAATTGAAATTCATTTAGGCAGGATTAAAGTAATCTATGAGACCTTGAGTGTGGTCAAATACATCAATCAAAAGGGTTTGACCTCCCAAGTACAAAACTGTAATTAGATCTCAAATCAGTCTAGATATGATGAAGCCATGAGCTAAAAGTTTGTACTTGAAAAAAAGAATCAGGCACACACGCATCCCATGCTTGGTATTGCTGGTGCACAAAACTATAGCTGATAAAAAAGATCTCATAGATTAATTTACTCTAATCCTGCCTAAAAGAATTTCAAAAGCCACAGCTATTGAGCATTTCCTCTTATTTGTATTAAAATGTAACAATTTATAAAATGTTGCATAATAATGAGAAATATCAATGCACAGAACTTTGAAAATATCACCAGATAATATCACTTAAGATTAAGAATTAAGTTTCCAACAGCAAACGTTTTATTATCAAAGTATTGACACAGCACAATCCCTGATAGTGATAGTCTAAATCCCTCTATTTTGTATGTGGCATCCACGCTTGTGCTGTTGTATAGGGTTTAAAAAAATTAATAGTTACTGGATATATCATTAATTGGACAAATTTCTGACACACTTTGTGCACTTGTAATAAAGGGGCCCCTATATAGAACATCACCAGAATTAACCCTCACTTTTAACTCCCATGAGAAAAGAACAATTCTTAACAGTACCTATCCTGAAATATATTCTCAAGAATAACTTGTAACTTTGACTTCAATTAATAATTGCAGTTAGCATAATCGTATCAGCATTTTGATTTACTTTGTTTATAGCTTTTGCTCAAATTGTTGATTTTGACTTAATGTATAACGAAATGCAGATAGATTTGTTAAAAGGGCCAAAACCTTTGGCAATGAGCCTGAATTAGAAGTGCCAGGTCTTTAGTGTTAAACCTGGGGTAGAGAACAATGGAAAAACCTCTCCTGTGGAGATATGAAGCCTTCTAGATCTTGTTTGCTATGGGCAGAAAAGTCTGGGTTTAAAAGAGATCTAGAAAAAATGCTTTGAATATGAGTGTATCATCTGAACCATGCAGACTGACATGGGTATTGTCAAGGTGCGAGTATGGTTTGGATTTGATAAAACTAATAATAGTTAACCCTATACTAACTAGAGAAGTATCATTACCCCATTCTCACATTGAAAACACTTAACTAAACTGCAAACACACAGTACACATTTTCTAAATATTGTTTAGTTTTGCATGAAAACAATATTATATAATTTGATTTAATACTTCTATGAAACATTTGATGTTGTGAAATGCCCATATTTTTACAAAAACAAAAATACTTCCTTGTCTTTCTAATAATAAATACACATATATATATATATATATATATATATATATATATATGTGTGTGTGTGTGTGTGTGTGTGTGTGTGTGTGTGTATATATATATATTA